AAAACGCTACGAATTAATTCCAACACCTAATATTATCTAATATTATCTTCTCAATACAAATTATATAAAAAATATCTATTCATCTTGATAATTTACTTACTAGAATTTCACACCAGCAATCTTGTATCCATCACTTATATTTCCAGCGATGGATTTGACAAACAACCACTCATCCATAATTAGATTTTTGTGGAAGCTGTCGTGTTGTACCATGTCTACCCACTGCTGAAGATAATCCAGGTACACTTCGAACACAGCCCTCAAGCTCTCGTCGAAGTCCTTGACGTCCTCCTCAAACAGACTCTCACAAGTTTGATCACTGGCGATAGCAGCACGAGAATGCGCAGCGAATCGATCGCGATGAATGCAAGCAATCCTGAGACCTTCGCGAAGCTCCCGCATGAGCTGTCGGACTGACAATGGACTTGGCTGCTCCGGCTTCTGTTCCAGTCTCATCCTTAAAAATTCATGGACGACATCCAGAGGCACACGCGAAAGAAACACAAAAGCTGCCCTAAGAAAAGAAATATTACTATAATGCAAATCGTTTATTTTAATCAATAGCATAATATAGTTTAATATTATTCACATTTCTTTCGATTTCGATTAAAAAAAAATTACCTAAGGTATTTCAACCAGTAGTTAAAAATGTTTTAAAAATAAAAAAAAATACACTCATATATAAACGTTTATTTTCCTTGTTTAATTTTAATCTAATCAATTAAATTTTATTATCAATTAAATTTGACAAAAAAATTTGATACAAATTTTAATGTCCTTGAATTAAATAAAAAACGCGATTGTGATAAAAAACGCAAAAAAAATATCTAAGCTAAAAATATTAAAAATCAAGAAATCTTTTAATAAAAAATTCTACGCACCTGTATGACGGTAGATTCAATTGCTTCGCCTCAGAGCTCCAAATACCATACCGTCGTAATTCTTTGTCACCTTCGTATTCTTCATTCGCACTACTATCACATCCTTCGCAATCATTTTTTTCCAAAGTTAACCTTGCTTTTCTCAATATAGATGTATGTAATCGATCCAAGAAATTCAAACTTTTCCGGAGACCTCGCGTTTTAAGTACGTCTTCAATGTATTTTCTAAGCACAAAAAAACAAGAACAAAAATTGTGCGTCGTTATATAGTTTTCATAAGTTGTATATTGGGTCATCTAAAAAGTATTCGCGGTACTTTGTCAC